AAGGAAGAAAAATATTCATAGGTCTCACTTGATCAAAATTGTTGAAGCTACATGGCTTATGCCAGATCTGAATTTTCTACTACAAGTAGGCATTTGATCTTCAGTTTTACTAGTTAACATAAGTACTAGGAATCCACCCATGCTATCACTTCCCTGCAAACACAGTTTATCTTTTCCAGACTTCTGAGAAGATAGAACCTGCCATAAATTGTATAAACTCTTAAGCCAAACCATTTGAGGAGAATGCCTGTTGAAAAACCATACATCTTCCTCAAGCAATATTTAAAAATAGCTCTCTTAGAATATTAGGAAATTTCAATTAGATTCAAGACATACATGTGGTTATTGCCTAGTCCATTGCTCTTGCACTTGATCTGTCTTTTTGAGTGCCTGCTGTGCTTACAGTCTCATTGAAACAACACTTCTTGACACTGTTTCCATTGAAACTTCCGGATGGAGGTGGCTACCCCATCTCAGCATGCTTTCTGCAGCTGACACATAATAAATCACAAATAACACATGAAAATAGTGTTACCAGAAAATCCCATTAAAATAACTAATCTTAACTTTCTCCACAACTTGTGACTATGGGTCACTACAGCCGTAGTACTCCCTCACTCTTTCTTCAGTTCACACTTCTCTCTAGCAACTGTTTGTCCACCTTCTGCAGGTTGTACTTCATGAAGATGGACTCCTGTGCATTGTGTGTGTGTCTGTGTGATTGTTACAGTTCAACTGCAATCAGAATGATTTCCTTATCCAAGCTGAATCTGCTCTGCCTTTGTTTTCCAAAATTGGATTCAGGTGACTCCATGGCTTTCAATTAATTTTTCCTCTATGTCAAAACATTTATGCTTAAGCTTCAGTAGTAGCCATGAACCCAACTACTCTGGTTGTTCTATTTTGAGGAAGAGAATTTGAGACCTCTGAGCTTGGAAGTAGCCATAGCTCCAGGCAAAGTTGCAGTCATTTTGATATCTTTATAGGTGCATAAAATCTGCCACTGAGGTCCCAGTACAGCAAAACTTTCAGTGATGAAATTGCAGTGTCTCCAAGAAAAAGTACTCTACCTGCAAGCATTAGGTGCAGAGCATAAGTCAATGCTAAAAGAGATGGAAAAAATGCTGCTTGCACATGTTTGCAAGCCAGCTAGCTATTGCTGACAATAGGTAGCTGGTTTCCTTTATCCAGGCAAATTTCCCTTGCTCCTGGCAAAGTGACTCATGACATGCAGTTTTGAACAGGTTACATAAAGTGCTTGTAATACACTAAACAGAAGAGCTGCAAGATATGTAATGGCAAGAAACAAATTCTAATTATATACTTGTGTGGCAGCCTTCAGACTAAACAGAGATTGTGGCAATCCAGTAACAGATTTTCACAAGTGCACATTTACATCTATTTTCTGCTGTGATTTTCTTCTACACTTCTAATGTGCTTTGACAGACCTCTCTGAGCCTCATTCTGGACGCCATCCTATTATTAAGCATCAGGATGCTACTGAAATCTGATTTGACAGGCAACAGACTCAGGGCTTGTGTGATTGATGGCATTGCAATGCAGAAACTGCATGTGTGTCAGCAACTTCTCACAAGAAAGTTTGCAAAATAGAGAGGAAATGAAAAAAGCAGCAACTGCATACTCCAGATGTCTGTGACTGAATACAAATATCCAAGAGAAACTATAGTCTGGTGACCTGATTTTTGCAAGCATGCAATGGAACAAATAACCAGTCTCTCTTATATCCCTTACCTTGTTTCTCTGAGAAAAATCCTCACAACAAAAAAAGGCCACAAACCCAAACAAACAAAAAACCCAAACAAAAACCCCAAACCAAAAGCAAAAGAAACAAAGCTAACCAACAAAAAGCCCTCCACCCTGAAAGAACTGGCCACAGTCTGCACAATTTACAATTTCTTTGATCTCAAAGTTATTTTAATTCTCTACCTTAAAAGCTGCATGGAACATGTATCTGTGAAGTGTCTCTTTCATTAACTAAGTTCTTTGATCTGGGTGACTGAAACACTTTATTATTCATATTCACACTGTAGACTTAACAACTTCTCAAAATTTACAAATAGACAGAAAATCCATAAGTAGTTTCAGATTATGATGTTTGTAAAAAATGCATGCAGCTGAACAGCTTAGCAGCCCCACCTTAAAAATCACAATTTAAAAGAGAGAAAAACACCCTGGTTTTCAAAAGGGAGAAAAAAAAAACCGCAACCAAAAAACCCCGAAAAACCCAAACAAACAAAGAAACACCTAAAAATCCCCAAAACAAATAAAAAGAAAGTTGTGCTCCCTCTTCTCTCAAGACTTTGACTACATAACAACAGACAATTAAAAGCCAGAGGAGCATTTATGTCAAAATGCAGCCCCAGAAAAACTGAAAGCTTAAAAGAAAACAGTGGAAAGAAGGAGCATGATTCATAATAAAAATCATGCTCTTTCTTGGTCTAGTTATGCATTTCAGAGTCCGAAAGGATAGTGTAACAATGCTCATGCAAGCTCTTTCACAAGGTTATAGTAATTTAAGAAATTTCTTGGAACTTTAAGATGTTTACATTCATGCAGATGGCAAGTCAGCTGACTACTGTAGGAAATTGAAGAGCTGGAGATTCAGATTATTATATTAGTTCAGATAAAGCTGTTACCTACCTCTATTTCAGCTGAGATTAACAAAATAAAAAAGGAAATATTGCAATAATCTAAAATTTCAGAGAAAAACCTGATAGCCTTACAGACTGCTTTTTATTCTGGAAAGTTTTATCAAGGAGTCAGAGGTGCTCTCCTGCAGATAGCTTGTTTTCACCTAACTCAGGTTAACTTAAAGCAGTGAAATACAGTCATTACTACAGAAGTTTGTAATACATGGATAGCAGTTATAACTACCTGAAACAACCCGAGTAGCTGAAAAAGCACCAGCTGAGGAAACAAGCTCTTCCCCAGCCCAGACTTCTGGAGAAAGTGGAACAGGAAGTCACAGGAAGGACTGTAAGTATGTTTCAATCAAAACAATACATGACTGGAGATCTGTAAATGGAAAACCTGTGGGCAATTTAAGACAGGCAGCTTCTGGCTGCAAACAAGCCTTCTACAGAGTACTATTTCTCTGTGTAACTTACCTAAAACCATGGAGTTAAATGAGAAATTATATGAAATGCCTCTGATGAGCACAAGTCCTACCAGGCTTATGCTATACTTCCAACATACACTACTAATACCTCTCAATGTCCATTTAAAAACAGAAACAATGTATATAGAATATCTGAAGGAGGTGAGGATCACAGAATTACAGAGTGGTTTAGGTTGGAAGGGATCACCAGTGGGGTCATCTGTTTCCAACCTCCCTGCTAAAGCAGAGTCTTCAATATTTAACAGAAGGTGCAGAGTTTCTAAGGAATTTGACTTAAGAAAAAAGAGACATTGTTAAAATGAGGCATCAGGCAAATATATGTTAGCAGTTAGCTCTGCACGGATAAATTTTGAGATCAAAATTTATTAATATTTTATTAAAATTACCACAAAAAGGTAAAGTATGATGATACTACTAGGTGATAATACTAAACTATTAGGGGCATATGCAACACAGGATCTTGGCACAGAACAACTGAAGGTGTAATTACATGAAAAGGAAATAAATTGGCATAAGATACAACAACTGGCAGTGCAGAGACAGAACGTGGAGGTCACTGTGATATGTGAGTGCGATGCAGCTGTGTGCTTCTGACAGTCACTGTGATATGTGAGTGTGATGCAGCTGTGAATCACAGGTCTTGTCAGAGGTACTTCCAGCAGATACACAGTAGAATTTGCGCCATAGTGAGAAGACTTTCTATAGCTTCTTGTGAAAGGCTGTGAATTTATAGTTGAAGAGGAACAGAGAAGAGTATGTGGGATGACCAGGGGGAATGGAGGCTTGCCTATGGCTATTACTAGTCTAGTCTAGCAACATAAACCTGGAGAAGTTCAGGCACCAAACATTTCTTCCTTTCTCATATTAATTGTCAAGACAAATTCTGACTTCTACCTTTTAAAGTCATCAGTTGGGAAATTTGAACTAACCTGTATTAAAAACAAATATTATTTCCTTTCATTTCTGAGAAAAATATCTGGAATGCTAAGGCCACCAAGGTACTGGCAATGTAACTGCCAGGAAAAGGGATGGTAAAAGAAATAGCTTATAGATCTCCTTGACTTTACCAGCAGTTGCTGGTTGCTGTAAGCAACACCCAGAAATTAAAAACCCTAATCACTGTATGTACTACAGAAGCATGTGGACTTCTGGGCTAGATTACAGAATTCATTTTAAAACATAATCACCATTTCTTTGAGATGATCTGTCAAAGTAATGATAAAATCCAGTAGCTAACAATTTGGTTGTGTAAATATGTAAAGAAAAATTTGCTTTTATAGCTCAGCTTAGTCATCAAAATTGCTAGTGGACTTAAATAATGCTGGTCACGGACAATCTGTATCAGAAAAACAAACCCCAAACCATTATCAGCAATATCTAAATGGACTATTGATGCATGCTCCTACATTAAATATGTTCTCTCTTATACATCTCTTTTTAAAAAAATACTTAGCAAACAAATAGTGGTCTGCTTGGCAAAGTGCTGGAAAGATGCTTTGCTTTTCGGGTTTGTAGTCTAGACACATTACATAAACACTCAAAGCATTTGGAAACTGTAAATTTCTTACAACAGTGTTTAAGGCCAGAGATGTGTGTGTTGCTAAGAGCAAAAATTTCTATCAATCTAGCAATATGGTATACTTTAAAGCTGGACTAAACAAGTTTTAAATAGTCAGTTCTGTGGTGGATAGAAATATTTTATGACTTCACAGAAGGGATAAAGTAATTTCAAAAACCCCATGGAACAGGTTTTATTTGTTCTTGGTTTTAATAAGTTCTGAAATATATTCACATACAGCAGGTCTGAATTACCGACATGAAGGGAAAAACATACAATAAAAAGGTTGAAGCTTTTATTTACCTTTTTATATGTTTTCTCTTCATTTGGCTTTCCAGCAGTAATGTCTCCATTTTCAGTAACAGACGACATCTAATAACAGAAGCTTAAGTTACAAAGACAGTATTTGCTTTACAAAGGTAATTGTTCAGAAAAATCCTGTAATTTATTATCCATTTTTGCTAAATTCAAACTTCTCAGAGATATTCCTAGGGTATTTCTTGTACCCTAGGAAGTATTTTCCACACAGACTAAAACGACAGCACTGGCCCAGCAATATGTCCAGCATATGACTGATTCTACATGACTCTGCATCTTTTCCCCACACCAGTGTGCAGTGCGGTCTTGCTCCTCAGCCTGCTGCGTGAGATGTTCTTGAAAGGGCAAAACTATGAAGCTCATGACTCAGATGTTCAGTGGCATGTCTCAGTAGTCTAAGGTCCTTGGCTGCATCAATATACTGTATCTCCTCCAAGTAGCAAGGAAATAATAGACTACCACAGAGTTGCAGAATATTCTGAATTGAAGGGACCCACAATGTTCACTGAGTCCAATCCTTAAGTGAATTGCCCATATAGGGATCAAAGCCACAGCCTTGGCATTATTAACATCATGCTCTAACTATTTGACATTGTATCCTATCACAGCTGTAAAGCCATTCTAGACCAAGAATAAACCACTAAGATAGAGATCACCTTGGTAAGACACTCTGAGTGCGTTTGCCAAAGTAAACAAAATAAAAAGGCAAAATGACATGGTTTAAAATAATTCTAAATTTCACCGATACTTTAACAAGGGAATTATACTTACCCTTATGAACAACAGAACAGGTCATCTGGAGCTGAGAGTGAAGATCAAGCCATTCATTGGTGGTGGTAATATTTTTCACAGCCTATTATAAGAAATATCTGTCAACATTATGCCTTAACAAACTTTCATCTCACAGAATAGCTGTAGATTTCCTTTTATTACTATTCTTCAGCCCAAGCAAGCATTCAGCTACAAGTGAGGCTTTTTAAGAATCATGTCAAATAACTTGGTTACTATAATTAGAAATTGCTATACTTAAAACATATTATAACTTAACTTGGTTAATATACTTAGAAACTGGCAGTATTACACAGGAGGGAATCAGTGCAGAGTAATTCCTTTTTGCCCTAGATATTTCATCCCTGTGGCACAAGCACCTCTACAATAAAACATTTATGTAGAGCAGTGCACATACATGCTCTGGAGTGTTGTGTAGTTACATGTGTTATTAATCTTACAGCCTTATAATCTCCAACCACTTATAAGAAATAGATGTGATGGTTTGGAAGACAGCACATTGAAAAGTCACAGATTACAAATTAAAAAAAAACCTAATGATACCTCAAATGAGAAGAAAATCTCACTTTGTCTTTAAGCAGTTCAAACAGCATCTTGTACATAACAAAAATTTGGTTTAAGAAAGTGTTCTAGGGCCTCATTCACTGATTTTGTTTTCCCCTAATCTAAAGGGTATACTTAGCACTACCAAGGAACCTTTTAATAAAAGGAGTCAAAGTCACTATTTTCCTTTCCTTTTCTTCAGAGAAGCGTCTGAGCCAAAAAAAGAGAAAAAGGTGGGGGACACAACAAATAGAAACTTGGAGTTTCTGAGAAGAAAACAATGCCTCCTTAGAAAAAGACACTTCTTACATTGCATACCAGTACTTTCCTCCTGCAGCTAACTGTACTCTTCATTGTAGCCTCCATCTAAGTAATGTGTGTTAATGAGTAATTCCTTCATTTGGACATGCATTAGCAGTCTCCTATGCACTGAACTCCTATTTAAAGGCAATGACTTAGTTTTTATAGCTTTTTAAATTGTATGTAGTTCACCTCACTCACCTATATTCACACATTTAATATTAATATTAACCCATGCTTACAACTCTATCAGTACACAAAGGCATCAAGAACTTGCTAAAACAGCTTTTGCAGGAAAAGAAATGTCATTTTAATTACTAGTAGAAGACTTTTTAAATAACTGATCATTGGTTTAAAACACCAATCCTCACCCAAGCTGTTGTTCTCCACATACCTCCCAAGACTATTGATACAGTATGATGTTCCACTACACACAAAACTTCCTAAATTATGAGCACACAGATTCAGCAAAAGCCAAACATTAATGCAACATGGGAGCTTTCATGCAGTAAGTTAGCTGAAGAAAGCACTCATACTAGACGTGGGAGAAAAGCCTGTTTTTTCTCCAGCACAGACAGAACACTTCACTTACGTGAAAATATACCCCTGCAATGCTGACAATAGGAAACAGACAACGAGAGACAAGTTCAGTAACTACCAAGTATAAAAACTCATACACCATAAAGAAGGTAAAATTTTCCTGTATGTGTTAGTTCAATTCCTAAAGGCATCTAGAATAGAACTATTTTTGTTCTAATCTTTTGAGAAACAGAACACACCAGTCTATCTTAACTGTGGTTGCGTTAAACAACTTTCAAAATCTGTGCTGTGACAACCATCTCTAGTTCCATGCTAACAATTTTTTGCAAAGCAAGTAATACTTTGTGTATTTTCCTCTTGCCCTAGAGCTACTGAAGCAGTACATGGTGCCTTCTCACACGCTTTATAATGTGCAGAGCAACAGCTACTGTCTCAGTTCTGATGAGATTTAACAGTTCAAAGACAGGTCACAACTTACAGTCTTGGACTCACTTCCAGGCTAAGCTACAACTATTTAGTTTTTTGTTACCATAGCAGGAAACAACTGTAACTAAAGCACTGAATCTCTGTATGTGTCTGACAAAGGAAAAGCTCACAATATACTAAGACATGGGGTAGGGGCGGGTAGAGGAAGAAAACATTTCATTTCAGAAATACTGTAGTGTGCTGACTTTGGCTGGAATAAAGTTAATTGTCTTCACAGTAGCTAGTGCGGGGTTATGTTTTAGATTTGTGCTAGAAACAGTGTTGGTAATTCAGGGATATTTTCTACTGTTGCATAGTGCTTACACAGCATCAAGGCCTTTTCTGCAGCCTTGCTGCATCAAGGCCTTGCTGTGCCCTTCCAGTGCACGGGCTGGCAATTCACAAGGAGCTGGGAAAGGAAACAGCCGGGACAGATGAACCCAGCTGACCAAAGGGATATTCCAGACAACATGGCATCATGCTTAGCATGATGGGGGAAGAAGGAGCTGGGGGAAGAAGGAAGGGAGGATGGTCAAAGTGACTGTGTTTTCCTTCCCAAATCACTGTTACATGTTATGGAGCCCTGCTTTCCTGGGAATGTCTGAACAGCTTCCTGCCCATGGGAAATGGTGAATGAATTCCTTGTTTTGCTTTACTTGCACACACGGCTTTTGATTTACCTATTTACCTATTTAGAGAGAAACAGTCTTTATCTCCGCCCCTGAGTTTTCTCACTTTTACTCTATTGATTCTCTCCCCTATTCCATCAGGGGGTAGCGAGTGAGCCAGTGTGTGTGGTTCAGTGGCTGGCTGGGCTTAAACCATGAGTGAAAGACAGCTATAAAGATCCCATCTTTAGCTTCCTAGATGCTGTCCTACCTGATAACAAAGAAAGAGAAACATTAAAGTACAGAAGGAATTTAAAGTTTTTTTTCCCCAGTACTCTTGAAGAGTCAACAAATTTTGGTCACAAATCTTACATGCAACAAAAACTACTGTCTTCTTGAAACACAAGATTACAGCCTTCAGTTCCAGCCTTCTGCTCCAAACACTTCCTAGTCCTAAATGCAGACTTTGAAAAAATCACATCTATTCAATGTATGCTTCAGGGGGAAAAAATAGTGTTTCACAGTTTAGTTTCTCACACTAGAATCATAGAACCACATGCTTCTTAACTAACACAAGCTGCAATTTCCATCACTCTGGGGGAAAAGTGCCATATGCATTTTCCTCTAGAGCTACAGGGACAACTTTTCAATTTCTCTGATCAGCCAGAAGCCCACAATGTCAACACCACCCTGCCCACCACATAGCTGGCATTTTGGAACAGAGATGACAGACAGGAAATATGAGCTTCCTACCCAGCTTTGATTTCTTTTCCCGAATTTTTAATTCCATGTTCCTTACACAGTCAAAATTTACCTTTTAATAACAGCATAAGGTATTCATTTTTCCAGATTGTAAATAACCAGCTGTTTTTACACAACCTGAGTTGCTGAGGCCCAGCTCACATGAGCAGTAATTTGTACCTTACACCCGAAAGGCCCCTCAGCTCAAATTTAAATTAACTTTAGAACTTCCAACAACTTCAGTGAAAGCCAACACCCATGAAAAAAGCTAGTGCTAGATTCCCACAGGCCTATGTATTAGTTCATTCAACCAAAAATCAGGTCTGCTTTCTTCCATTACCATGAAAACCTTTTTGGGTTTTTTTGGAAAATGCATTTCTTAGTATAGTCAGACGATTTTCTTAAACAAATAATTTTTTAAAAACATTAATAAAACATGCTGTTGAGGAATCACACTCCAAATAAAAGCCATGTAACTTTTCTGACATATTCTTTCAATTGTTCTTGTTCTGACTGATAGTTAAAATTGAAATAGTCTTCATAGCTTTTAATACAGACATATCCCTGGATGGACTGCTGTCAGGTCTCTGCATTGAGTTAGAAACCTCACGCAAAAGAAAACAGATTTATAACTTCTCACAGGTGTAATCTTTAATTTTAATTATGAGGAGGAAAAAAAAAGCAAGACAAAACAAGATTAAATGAAGCCTTAAATTATCCATTGGGCAGAGGGAGAATACTAGAAATCAAAGAATTCAAGAAACAATTATGTATGTTTAAAATTAATAATATACAAATAAAATAGATGGTGCAGTGCAGATTTTTCAGTCTGAAACACACAAATACATTTTCAGGAACACTTTGGATTGGTTTTGGGTTTTTTTCTGGCAAGTGAATGCATTGGGATGGAATACACAATTTTGGACTCAATCCAGAAACTTCATTCTCATAGTTCTGTGCATGTCAGATTACCTATTTATTTAACTGTTTCTTAATCCTTGAACAGTTTCTCTTTTGCCAGGAGGACACTAAATCCTCAGAATATGGCAGGTGACTTTTCAGAAAAGCACAAAGACTCTTACATTAAATTCATACCAATGGTACTAACTCAGAACCAGCCAAAAAAAGATTATCAGAATTGTAATTGTATCTGTCCTAAGTAAGTGGGACTTTACACACCAAGACTGCATTTTTTGTTGATCACAGCAGCTTGTCAGTAAGTACAACATGTAAGGATGCTGACAAGAATTTCTAGTCCTACAAACAGCATTTATAATGAATTCCATTAAAAAGAATCATCAAGTGAAATTCCTTTGTAAGTCCTGTCTCCCTTTTGTTACTACTTTGAAGAAGCAGCTTCTAAGACAACTATGAAAATCATAGTCATTCCATTAGTGCAAAACTGTTACTGGTGAGATTTGTTCAGACATATTTTCCTCATGGAAGCTGTGAGAGTAGCATTTAAAGTCAGTACTTCAACTCACTAAAAGGACTTGCAGATCTGTAAGACAGCATTCTTCCACCAAACCACATTGGGAACAGTCATACACTGCCAGATTTCAGCCCTGATGTGAAGCTGGAGACCTTTGTTACACAAAATTTTGCCATTAAGCCAAAAATGCTCTATAGTGGAAGAAATCCATGAATACATATTCATTAATGAAAAGCTACTCCTTTCATACTTGTCCTCTTGTGTTTCCCCTACCCCAAGCTCAAGCACCCAAAAACCATTCATGGTATTCTTGGAGCTACCTGAAGGCAGCTCCAAGTTTAAAAGGCACTATTAAAGCTAACTCCCCTCCTTCTTTGAAATGATAGAGATTTGAGTTCATACCTTCTTAGGCACTGAACAAACTTCTCCTACAGA